ATGCATGTAAAATATAAGTAAAAAGAAATATCTCTATCTGAAGAATAATAAAATATGTTTTTCTCACTCCGTAATAATGTGTGTGAAAGTTCTAAGTAGGTATATTACGTACATGTATATGTATAAGATTTGCGAATTATAATTCTGTAAACGTATTCTATATGGTTATGTTATGAATATCTATTATCACATCGATGAGGAAAGATGCTTTGTAAAGCGAAAGATTATTCATGAGAAACATAGGATGAACTTTTGCTTTTCTTGTATCGCTGCTAAAAGCATGCAATTTCCTTCACATATTTATATATGATACGTAAGAGTTAGCATAAAATTTCATATAGAATCATGCATCAAATAGAATTTATTTTAGTGTCATTAATTACGACCGGACAGAAAAATTAAAGTGAATCTCGGTTCATAATACGATTAAAGATTCGCATGAATGAAAATCAACTTTATACGGATATCAAACTTATATATCAAAGTTTTTAGGGAGAACTAAAGAATAACTAAAAAGTAATGTATGCTATAATAACTTAATCACTTTAATTTTAAAAATTTGGAATTTCTCTTTCTCTCTCTCTTTTCAGTATCTTATTTAAAACGTATATGTATAATACCGAAAAATGCATCCGTCATCGAACAAACGCATATTTAATATAGAAACATGAGTAAGTATGTAACATTAATAACGAGTAAGAGAAAGTGTCGAGTTACGAGGGGGTTGCACTGCTGCTTCCAGTGCACGAAGGGTGGGTGGGTGAAGAGCCTTCGTCAGCAATGAGCGCGATCACGTATACAACGGTCGTACAAGCACGCTAACCAGCTAGCAAGGCAAGATGAGATATCAGCAAGCGACGAAACAAAGTTTATTTTGAATCAGCCACGGTAACCCTGGAATCGTACTATGCCGGCGAATAACACCACGAGTACCGCAGCAGATTCGACGCTCCTACCACACAGAGCTCCGGTTCTCAACAACGGCTCAACGGACACAGACAGACAGAAGCTGGAAGCTAGCGCGACCCAGAGAGGTGAGCCGGGAAAAGGAGGCAAACAGAGAAGCAAAGCGAAACGGTAGACGAGAAATGGGAACGAGGATAGGGAGAGGATAGGTACGCGAAGGATGATGGTCTAGCCGACGATGGTGATTGTTACGGCGACGACGTTTCAGTTAGCTGAAACGTCGTTTCCTTTGACGCGTCTGTGTGAGGAAGGAACTTGTCCTCGATGAGGACACGTACCGACGTGCACGCGTACACCAGCGCGGATGACGCTGCGCGTAACCACTGCCACGTAGCTGTACATACAAACAGCCGCACACGTGCGCGACCAGCGCTACACACGACCGGGGAGGGATCCAAGGGATACACAAACACTGGGTTTCCTGGGGCTTCCTTGGTATACGCTATTTCACGAAGGTGGTTGGATGTATCTGCTTGCCCGCGCGCGGTATTCGTCGTGCAAACTTCGAGCTCTTGCATGGGCGCTCCTTCTAAGACTTCGCCTGTATAGCGGCAGAGAAGCGTAGAGATCTCGATTCGGGTTAATTGTGGGCTTCGTTCTATAGACTCGGTACTCGGGCAATGAATTTTAGGAGGCGCGCGCACGATATCGCCTTGCCTCGCCTCGCCTCGCCGCGCCACCGATGCGACGCCGAAGAGGCGAGAGGTCGGACGGGAGCGAGCACCGACAAGCGGATATATTTATGCGCGCTCGTGGAAATTCTTCGATCTGATTGCGAGCGCAATTGCCAGGGGAATGAAAATGTCTGCATTTAGTAAAGTACTGTTTTCAACGCGCTACAAATAAGACCGCAGTTGTTCGTAGCAGCGGTGTACATTTTACTTTTGAAAAGCAAATATATCTAAGTAATTAAAAGAGCACAACTTTAAAAAATGTAAAAGTTTATAGATTTTATAATTAAAAAGATTTGAGGATAATATCGAAACATATGTAAATATACAATGTTTTTCGTATTTTTTATATTCGAGTTATATATTAAGTTAATTTAAATATTAAATTATGACATATGTGGAAATAAAATTTCGATGACAAATTATATCAAATTTTCTTATTCACAAAAGAAACTTAAAACGAAAAAGTTAGTTCTAAAATTATTCTGCCTACCTTTCACATCGTACACCGTATTTGTAAGTATAATTTTTGTCAATTTATTCGTTTGCACAGTATGCAAGACTGCGTTTATATTTCAATATGATTGAAAAAAATATTGAATATTTATATTAAGAAATTGTTAACAGTATACTATAGAATAAAAATATCTGTAAGAGGTTTGGATTGTTCTCAACCTATTGATAGAAAAATAGAGTTCATGCGCTAGTTTATTATGCTTGGTAAAAATAAGTATTTACATTAACTAAAATGTAATGCCCAAAAGCAATAATATAATGACTTGAAGATCTTAAAATTAAAGACATTTAAATATAGACTTTAAAATTCCAGATTTAACAAAAATATTTCTATTTATCTTATTTCTAACTTATATATAAAGAAGTTGTAATTTCTCTTTAGGGATATCAGAAAAATCGGATTTTTATCTCACTTACACTTTATCTCATTTATAAAAACGAGCTTCGGGCAAAAATTAACTGTTCTTAAAAAATTATTCTGTCTACATTATACTTCATCCGCGAATAAAATTTCCACAAAATTACTCATTAACACATTTGATACATTAATTTACAAAGTAATATTTTATCACGTTATAACTATATAAATTAAAAAAAAAAAAAACAGATTAAAAACAAGATATTGTAACACGACTTGTAAAAACTGTAGTGCACTCTGCTTCTGTATTAAAACTTAATGTTCATAATTATCGCCATAAATTATTAATTCTATAACTTTCAAAGACGCATTCCGTCCGAGAATATCGATAATATCGATTTCCATGCGAAATTATTAACACGTCCGACATCGATCCCTACAATTTGGCACAATTTAAGGTAGGCAGGAATCGGTGAATCTACTTGAGAAATAAGGGTCGTGGTTCCACGCGATGCCTTCCGTGCAGTTTCACGCCGATACGCATTACTTCGCAAAGATTTGTAAGCGGTCGCGAGCGTGCCAAATACTGTGGTGTGCGCTGCGGGAGAAGAACGAAAGCGGAAGGAAGGGAGGAAAAGACGTTCTATTCGAGGATGGAATAGGGGTTAATACGGACAATTTCTGTGTTCAGGATGAAGGAACAAGCTGCACGTATATAGCCAGCTTATAGACGCGCAGAATCGTCCATAGAGTTTATCGTCCGTTTAATAAAGAGGAGATAGGAAGTGGGAGAATGAAAAACGTAATGTTCGTGCCATCCTTTCCAATGCGTCGGTTTCTCCTCTATCTCTTTCGATAAATCGATCTTGAAACAAAACCTTTCCTCAGATTATATGCCCGACGACATCACCTGCTAGATATTATAGCTTTAATACAAGGATTCAGTGACGAGGCCATCAGAGATTGGTAAAACGCGCCGTCCAATTCAAACATTACGTTTTCAGAGTCAAGATAAGAAAGGATACTGTTAAAACAGTAACGAGAATAGAACGCGTACCTTATTGTATTAAAAAAAAAAAAAGATAGAACAGGTCGATCGAAGTATATTTTTCTTTGGCATGGCATCATTAAAAAGCGAGTAACAAACTCGTTAGAAAATAAATTGTACGCAGGTCGGAGGCCAATCAATGTAAGTACATAACTCGTACGGCCGAGTTCTTCCGCGGCAGCAACAACAGCAACAACTACACAGTCTTGTAGTTTTGCACGTAAAACGTGAAAAAACGAAAAGTTAACAAAGGAGAAAAAACAAGAGTCAGCAGTCTGATCCAGCGTACGCGTCCAGAACTCTTTGCTTCGAAATACGCGACATTGATCCGCCTACGTGACCGAGTTCGAGCTTTTGAACAATGGATTCGAATCACCATCCTTGGCCAGTGTAACGGAAAGATATTCGAGTGCGTATCGAGTGCGTTGTTGCTGGAGTACAGGGAGGGTACGATTTCGCGGAACCAGAGAGTCCGCGCTCTTTTTCCCTTTCGGTATGAGAAAACTTTTCGCATCGCTTTATCCGTGTCTGTTCCTTTGTGCGATCTCTATGGCTTGGCTCTCTTCTCGTCAGTGAGCGGCGGAAGAGACGTCTCTCATTCTCCCACTCTTTTTTCTCACTCATTCTCTCTCTCTCTCTCTCTCTCACTCATTCTCTCTCTCTCTCTCATTCTTTCTTTCACAACAAGGATCGCAAATCTTCAGAAGCGGGCTGTACAAGCACTTATAGATGTATACGTACAATCGACTTCAAAGTTCTGTCTTTTCTCTTCTTTTCTCACTGTCACTCTACTCTTGGAACAAATCCCTTCTATTCATTACTCGTCAAATGTCAAATTGAGCGTCGTAGTAGTAATCGGACGCGACTAATTGGCTATGTTTCTCCGATTCTCCGTGCCGTAAAGCGCGTGGCAGTGGATCTCCTAACAGCGGATTTGGCTACGGTGATCCTTTATCCGATTACCTATCTCTCCATCGGTCACGATCCAGTCCACGGATCGTTACTGATATCGTCGCTTCTCTCTTACTCAGTTCGTATATCACCAAAAAGACAAACAAGAAACAATCCATGTATACCGGCGCGTCTTACAAAATAACAAACTATACAAAAAGTGCGGTAATAAAATATGTAACGATAACACGATCGACGATCTCGCGGTCGGTAAATGTGTCACAATAACGCGTCATATCCTTTTTGACTCAGGGACGTCAGGTTATGGAGAAATGATTCTAATTATTATGGCAATGCTGCACCAGAAAATGATTCACCAGCTGAAAATTATAATAACATCGCGCTGCTATTAATGATTGTACACGGGGAACATGTAGAATTTACAATCCTGACCCGTTCAGAAAAAAAAAAGAATATTTAATCCACTAGAAAAAAAAAACACTTAATGATCATATATGATTTAACAATAATATTATTTGTTTCTGCGCCGTCCATACGCGGTCCTTAAACCCTGCCTCCATCGTCTTTTCATCCAGCCCTTTCTCCCGCTGACTAGTGTGCTATTTATCATGCGACGCCCGTGAGCTCCCTTTTCGTGGTCTCAGGCGTGCCGTGACTATCTCAGAAGTAGATGGAGCGTGCCCAGGCAGAGTATTGTCACAAACGTCATCGTGTGCATGCCGCTTCCGTTTTCTGAGGTTACTGTAACACATGTTAAAAAGAAAAGTTACCATTTCTCGTTATTCTTCAAATGACGAGCGTATAGTCTCTGGAATGTTAACTCCTACACTGTCCGGCATTAATTTTTTAACTTGAAAAGTATCGTTTTCAGAGATTTTTTTGATGCTGAAAATGATTTTTTTGGTACTATCCAGAGTGTTACGTCACATTTTCGAGAAAATTGGAATAATATAAGCAAAAAAACGATTTTGATCATATTTAATCATCGATCATATTGATCAGTATTACAGATAAGGAAATTTTATTTTTTATTTTGTCTACGTTATTTTAAAGTGCTATTTTTTATCCTTAATTTTTTTAAGGATAAAAAGCCAAGTTAGGCCGTGGGTTTGAAGTGGTATTATATATACCTAGTAAATGTCACATTTACGGGCATTTTTATTTTTATATAATTTGTGTTTCTTGGACTTGAAAGTAATAAAAAAATTAAATAAAAAAGAATATAAAAAAAGAAGTGTAACAAAGATCGCCTAAAAAACGTGGTGAATGATCTATAGAGGTGTCACACTAATTTCGGAATATAAGTTCAAGAAATATAAACTATGTAATCACAAAAATAAAAGAACGCGCGAAATTAAGAACGACACTATTACACATGATAGCCCGTATTTAGAGCGCGCGTTCATCGATACATGCTTTTATGTCTGAAATTTTATAATATACGTGAACTATATGCTAAATATGTGCGCTAACATCATAAAAACACGTTTTGAATAAAAGATATGCTTAACTTTAAACCCTTAGTAATTTAGTCTTAAAAAATTGTATAGAAAAATTGTAAAAAAAAATGATTTTAAAGATAAAACATAGCACTTTATGGTAATGAAGATGGAATTGAAAAAATTAATTCTTTTATTCGCAATGCGAATACTGTTCTAAAAAAAAAAATATTGAAATTATTTTCGGCCCGTGTTACCTCATTTTCTTAAAAATGTAATGTATTGTAAGAATTTTTTAAGCGCGGATTCAAATTTAAGCGACCAAATTTTCCAATATTTTCAATAACATTCCACAAGTCAAAGATAAAAAAATCAAATTTTAACAGTGTTATACAATAATTTTTAACAGAGCAAATAAAATTATTACACAATCAAAATATTTAAAAATCAGACTACTCCTCGCCCTGAAGTGAACAGCAAGGTTCACGAAATATTGACATTCCAAGAATGGATATGGAGAAAATCCGCGAAACGCATAATCTTTATATAAGAAAGCACCCGTGGAAGCCTCAAGGATATAATCAAAATATTTATAATATTATATTAAAGTAAAAGAATTATTACAAACAGCGATTTTATATCAGAGAAATATTTATATAACATAAATAGATTCATAAATTTTTAAAATATCTATTGAAATTTTGTTGTAATATTGCAGCTTTTTTAAAAGTTAAAATATCATAAATATTATAAATATATTAGAGAAACGATATTCTATTTATTGATACTAATATTTTAAAAAATTAAATTGTGCAATGTAGTTGCACTAAAAAAATAAAATTTTTTAACACCATCTAGAAATAAAATAATATCTTGAAGTAAAAGTTAAAAAAGTTAATCCAATAAATTATTGACGTTTAAGTATAAACCGGCTTTTTAGTAGCAGTATAATATAGCCGTATTTTTTATACTTTCCCAAAGTTTGCCTATAATAATCTAAAATTAAAACTATGCATTGAAAATAGATTATGATTTTTATTATTTATCATATTGTAAAATAAAAAAGATCCAATAAAAAAGGAAAAGCTTTTTCAAGTTGAACATTTCACCACAAACTCTATGTTGCATTCGAAATTCTAGTATCTTTGCAGTGCAAAATTTATATGCGCTACGTGTTCTCTATTTGCACGGAACGATGGCACGTGTGTCGTCCTCGTTGAAACTTAATTCTTTTTTTTTTTGCGAAAAGCTTTTTTGTGTTAATGATTTACACGAAAATTCACACGTATATTGTAAAAATGAGATAGATGAGTCAAATGATGGTGCCTGGCATGACCGGATTATTGATTGGTAAACACGATCTGCATTACATGTCGTATCATTAAAACGTCATCATTATGCTGCGCGACATTCAAAATCGACAAGCCTACAATCAATAACAGCGACGATAATGACACGTGTCTCCGTTCGACGAAATACGCAGGAAATCTGATGAATAGATATCAAATCATCGAGAAATGTGTCGCCGATAATCAGTTGATTTTAGTTCGGTTTATACATTATCAGTATATCATGAACATAACACGCGTGAAAACTAAGCACATGTAGACGTTCAACATTCTAATGTAGACACGTTGACAGATATGCCACGCGTGAATATTATTGTAATTCAAAGTGTAGCTACCGTAACATATCAATATATTTTACATAATAATATAATGACAATACCACACTTAATCTACTTGCTTTCTATATATGACGTAATTAATAATAGTTGGTTTGTTTCAAAAATTCTAGAATATAAATACCTAAATATAGATTTAGAATGTAATTACAGAAAAAATAAATTGGAAAAAGAAAAATGTAACAAAATTTTGGAAAAATTCAAATAATTATTATTATACTTTTAATATATAAAATTTATATATTCCAAATTTTACTATAAATTTAAGATTTTTAATAATAATCAAAGTTATCGAGAATCAAATTTTATTACCTATAAATTTGCAAGAGATTCAAATAAATGTAATTTTTATTTCACATTAGTTTCTAGGAGTAATTTATAATAATAAGATTTGGAAAAGAATCGCGCTTTTATTTCTTTCTTAATTCGGCATAACGATATAATAAATTATATTTAAAATAGATTAAAATAATATATATATGTATGCAAGGATTATTGGGGAGCGATTTCGCGTAAAACGACATTTTTCTTTCTATTCGAGATTAAATCTCTCTGACGGAGCGCGGCGTGTCAACTGTTGAAATCCCTTTTGGAATGGAAACTCTGACGATGAGGAAGGAGGGTGGTGCCATTAAGTGGAACGTCAGTGGATTTTCCTCCGCGGGGCATTGTTCCTTCTGTCGGATAGAAAAGTCAATTTCCTAAAAACAATTCTGTCGACCACGGCCCAGGGAGTAATACGTACGAATCAAGCGACCAGCCGCCCGCGGAAAACCGGGTGTGAACAAAATGAAATTACTACGGGTGCAGAAGAGAACGAATTTCTGTAACGGCGGCAACGTTGGTGCGCGGCGGGCGGTAAAGTGGAATATAGTCTCGACAGGTTTGAAAATTGAGAAGAGTCAAAATCCTTTGGTCGCTTATCAATCGTCGAGGTTTACGGTATATTCCTCCAGTCTGCTCCTATTACATTTATCTCAAAATGTATGAGAGTTTTGCCAACGATGGTGAAATCGCGAACGCTCCGGATCCCAGATAGCGATCGTTGATATTACTTTTGAAATATTTCACTCGAACATAAAAAAAAAACATAATCTGATCATCTCTGACGCATGCAATGCCATACGCAATACTTTTTTATGCATATTTAAATATCCTACGAAATACTGATATACCAGAATATTCCGTGGACACGAAATGTTCCTCTCAACTGCAGGCTGTTTGACCATTTTAAAGTTGATTTTCCATTCCGTTCCAAGTTTACTAAAGAATTTATAATCGGGAAAATCTGATGTGAAGACGTAATACACACTTTCTCTTTGTATTAATTTTGCGCGAATATGATTGCATGAAATAAATGTAGAATAGAATAGAAACTTATACAGAACTGCTCCAGATACATATAATATTTATACAGAATATGCGTGCAGGATAAATTGTCTGACGGCGAGGGAAACTGAGAAGAAAACTTTCGCAAAAACCTCGGAGTCAGATTTTTCAGATGCATGCATGTATAAATGCGACGTGTGCGTAAGAACAGCTTATGAGGTATCATTCATGGATTTTCGGTAAGAGCCTTTTGAGAGGGATTGAAAGACTCGTTCACCACGATCTGAAAAGTCTAGGCCGAGATGAAATTCAAAGGATTCTTGATGTAAAAACCCTTCAGGCAACTTCATGAGTCGGTGCTCGTAAGTTCGTGACACGAGTCTTCAGAAAGTTTTGGGGAAACGATTTACTTAGAGTACAACTGAGGTGCGTTTCAGTTGTATACATACTTTATCACTCGTATACATGAAAATCTCGGCGCAATGCAGCGGCAAAATTGTCAAAAGTTATTCTTGTAAGATACATACGGTAACGAGCGAAATTTCTTCTCGTTATACTGTGAGCTCGCTCGTAATAACATATCGCTTGTCCAATTATGAGATGTATTAATATAATAATAATAAATATACGCGTTAAAATGTATCCTTAAAATTTGTTTTTCAAGATAATGAATAATGTACTTAATTAAATTAAATTCTATTACATTATTAATTTATTCTATTAATACAAGTATAAATAAACTTTTAATCCTACTTTAATTCATATCAAAAAATAATACAAAGAACATCGTGCAGTAGAATAAAGAATAATATAATCATATTACATATATATAGAAAATACAAAATTATTATTATTATTTATATAGAAAACATTTTGATACTTGCGCAACGCACATATTTCAAATAAATTATTTTCGTAAAGAATAAGCTCTAATCGAAAAGTTCTCACTTTCCATGTCTTATGGCAATCCATTTATTTTCTGGCATTCGAAACTAATCGGATATTCACAAGTAATCAGAAACTCAGTAAAGTTCGACATAAACCAATAAATTTCAGACACCTGAAGATGGGTTTGCGTACAACTTGAGAACAGAATCCCGCAGATTTAATGCAGCTAAGGAAAATTTTCTACATCTTCTATACTGTTTTGATTTGCGTGTATCTGTTTCGCAGACTTTCTGATGTAATATCGCCTATTAATTAAAGCTGAACTGTTGAGAGTGAAAATTTGTGACAATTCAAATAAACCATTTGTCTTGAACGATCTCGGATCTCTTTAGAAAATATTT